TTCGTTGCTATTTCATGAAGTTTATTTCGAAGAAATTCTTCATTCACCTCACTCCAATCCTTGATAATAATAACTGGTAGATTTGTATATAATGAATCAAGTGTTGAATGCCAAACAATAGGAATAATATCAAGATATAATGCTTCCCATGTTCGATGACAATCAATTCCAGTACCACGAGGTGACACCCATAATGGATACTGTCGATTTCGTCTATAAATAGTAGGTAAACTTGAAATATTCACTCCACCAGGTTTATCATAACAAATAGCAAATGAACTTTGATTATTTTTGCATAAATCTTTATGAAGTTTTCTTCGTACACCAGTTGGATCAGTATCAGGAGAAAAATTAACAAGAACTAGTTTATCTAATTGAATATTATTTGTTAACACACTTTGTGTAACATCAAGTGGTTGTATGTAATGAGGTGGTTCATCAGGATTGTTACTGCTGACAGATGGAAGAATATGTTTTGGATATTGTCGATGAACACCTCGAATGCCTTCTGCCATTTCAAAGCAATTAATACCTATAAGAATGCAATAGATGAAAGATATTGTAACGATTGCGTTGTTAGTAAGAGATAAAACAGTCTGTTAAGAAGTTATATATTTTCAATTTTTAGTTTTTTTTCAAGCAGTTCTTTTATAATTCTAGTCTCATCAAATCTATTAATCTTACCAACTGGTATATGTGTGAAACGTTCATTTTTCGTAGCATCAATATCTCCATTTTGAGCAAACCAATGAATAATTTTTGAATGACGCTCTTCAAGATAACGAATATGCTCACCTGGTGTTTGAGTGCCTCCTTGACCGGTAATTAATACAAATTTATTTCTTAAATATGGATAAACTTCAGTAAAAAATGATGAAAGACGATCAGTTTTAACGTAAATAATGCTTCCAGCTGGAAGATTTCTTATACTTGCACTACTTATATTTAAAATATCAAAAATTTCATTGAATACACCCTCAGGCCAACCATATATCCAATCAGCTAGATTTCGAAAGTTTTGTGGACAAATAAATTCCGAATAATGATGAATAAATTCTGATGTATTATCGAAAACTATACGATCACCAGTGATTGTCGATTGATATTGACATTGAAGATCTTCGGCATCACGTAGTATACCATACTCACGATAAACAAGATAGAATAGAGTAAATATACATATCATAAAAATAGATGGTAAGCTTTTACGAGAACGACGTCTGTATTTGAATAACATATCTAAGAAAATACATAACAATATATTACGAGAAAAAAGAAAATCAAATCTTACTATTTTTAAGAAAAATCGTTAATCTAACTATATATGTTACAAAAACAATCATTAATTCTTGGAAACTGAATTGATAATTATAATATGTTTTAGATTCGAATTTTTATTAAGAAAAAGTCATGTGAGAATGAGAATCATTGCTTTTAGAATTTACCTGAATGTGTTTTCGTGCAGAGAAAAAAAACATCAATCAAAATATGTTTTCGTTGTATTTTCGTACCGGAAAAGTTCATTTGTCGAGAAAAACAAGTTAATGTAGCGCTTGACAAAACAAAACACTGACAATTAATGATTATACGCTACAAAAAATTAGTTAGCAAAAATTCGAAAAACTATTTCGAGATTGAAATCTGTCTAGTCGCAATTAAAAGTTATAATTAACAATTGATAAATATTATTTTCCTCCTATTAGATGTTAATATATCAGTTATTTGCAATATAAAACAAACTTATTTTCCCTCGATATTTTTATGCAAAGCGACCTGATTGAATTAATTAATCTGATCACAATAATCAATGTGAACAAAATAAAATGAGATTTTAGTGTTAATATAAGCCTTAATCTTTACTTGGAAAACTATCAGTACGATTGTGTTTTAATTCATATGCGTACGCGTTAGTGGTGAGTATATCATTGTTATGATTAGTATAAACAAATCGTTGTCTTTATTTTTTTGTCTCTTGTCTTATTCACTATTGTTCTTTATTTTTTCATTATTGTATTGTAATATTAAGAATGAATACTTTTTTTTATTGTCAATGCACTTTTATATAAAACAGAGGGTTACGCGATGATGTATAATATAACAAAAACCAATCACGTATGTCAGTTTTCTCAAAGAATTTTGTCTCTAATAGAAATAAGACTAAGAAAATTTTATGTAAGTAATTCATGCGTATCTATGATTTTTTCTCACATGTATTTTCATCGTGACTTCAATATACAGAAGTACAAAACAATACGGGATTTTTACCATTTTCGTGTTGAGTCAAACAGTCTGTATTTCTTGAGTTTCATTATAGTAATGTATATCTAGTCTAAAGGTGAAAAAGACATAGAATTTGAAGATTTATCATTCTTGATTAGTAACTAATCGATTCAAGATGTTAAATCAAGCATCGATTCAAAAGATTAGTCATGAGAAGATATTAACAATCCAGATTTTAATATGACTTCTCAAGTTTTCTTTAGAGAAATAGATACATATAGTACTATTAACAATA